CTTGAGCCCAGGAGTTGGAGGTTGCTGTGAGCTGTGATGCCACGGTACCCTACCCAGGGTGAAAGCTTGAGGCTCTGTCTCAAAAAAAAAAGTGTGGGGAATATGTTAGTCTTCCACCCACATGGGTCATCAGGTGTGTGGAAGTGCAGTCCTTTCTCGGTGTCATGCTAAAGGGACAGGATGATGATGAAGAAGATGACAGGACAATCTTTATTCAGCACCTAAGTGTCCAGTGCAGCGCTAATGTTTCTTTGCTCTTTTCAATCTACTAGTCATTCTACTGTCCCCTTTTTACGGATTAAGGTACTAGGGCATAAGGAGGTCAAGGAGCTTGTTGAAGGACATCACTGCTAACACAAAAAAGGGAACACATTCAGGCCACAGTCACACCCCAAAGTGCTGAAGAGACCAGGGAGCAACAGCCCAGCCCCTGAACCTGGCGGGGGAGCTAAGGCAACACCGACAGGGCATCAGGACAAGGGAGTTTCCAATTCCCTAAGATGCTCACAGACGGCCTAAGGTAATCAATCTCTCAGCTCTGGAAGTGAAGAACCAGGTTGCTCCCCAATGAACTCAAATGCCTCTAGGCCTGCCTGATCCCCAGCAGCCAGTAAGCAAGGACCGGAAGGAGCAGCCCCACAAGCTGGTGTCCCCTTTTGTGGCTGAGTTCTATCTCCTGAAATTCCTCTGTCAAAGTCCTAAACCCCAATGCAGAATGTGGCTGCATTTAGAAATTTGACCTTTACAGAGGTAATCAAGTTAGAAAGGCCATTTGGAGGGGCTCTAATCCTAAAGGACTGGTGTCTTTCTAAGAACAGATTAGGACACACACAGGCACAGGAAAAGGCAGCCATTTATCTATAAGCCAAGGACAGAGGCCGCATAAGAAACTTTGCTGACACTTTGATCTTGAATTTCTTGCCTCCAGAACTGTGAGAGAATAAATTTCTGTGGTTTAAGCCACCCAGGCTATGACCCTTTGTTACCACAGCCCTAGCAAACCAATACAGGCTACAGGGCAGGTGCGGGCCACACATGACAGGGACCTTGCTGACAGCTCTCCAGTCTCTTCCAAGCTGCCATGATTCATGGGCTGTGCCAAGCCCACTGACCGCACTGCCTCTAGGGCTAGGACAGGCTGGACTCTGCTCAGACAAAGCAGGCAACACGTGGCACTGAGAACTGACCACCTCGGGGGCCCGTGGGGCCTGGAACAGCAGGCCTTCCACCATGCTGCCTTCATGGGTAACCCCACCACCCTGTAACCCCACATGACCCCGATGTCTGAACCCTTTCCAGTGCTGTCCTGCTGCTGGATCCGCTCCAGGGGAAGGGGACACACCACCTGTGGGGGGGTGGGGGGGTGGAGAACAACAAACCTGGCTGCACGATGGTCAAATGAACACGGGCAAAAGCCCTTAGCTCACTTGATCATCTCATTGCTCTGCTGTTGTGATAAAGTCAAACTTCTCAAAATGGTACCCCTGCCAACAGTCCCAGCCTTGTGTTTTGCCACCTCACCCCTGTCCTCTGCTCACAGTTATGCAGACCTACCCATCCACGTGGACTGTTCTCTCCTGTCAGGGCACTGGTGACATCATCTCCACTTCTCAGAACGGTTATTCTTCCTTTTTACCTGCTTTGCTCCTATTCATCCTGCAGATGCCGATGTCACTTCCTCTGGGAAGCCTTCCCTGGTCCTCATGGTCAAAGTTAATTACTCTCACACACGCCCCAATAACACCTGCTCGTGCCTACTCACAGCATAATCAAGACTCTAAATAATTATTGGGGGAGGGTCTAT